CAGAAACCCTTAGAATGTTGTTGCCTGGAGGCTGTTTATCATGAATCAGTTATTTTCTGCTGAAGAGTCAAAGCAAATCTAAAAACCAGATATCAATTTACTGAACCCTTTCAAAGAAGGAAGTAGAATGTCAACCAAGGTAGACCAAAAAATACAGAGACCTTTTGTCCAATGGACATAAAAGACAAAAATAATTTAAGGATCAGGATCAGAGAAGTGTCAACTAAACTCAATCTGAATAGATTAAGTTGCAATCTTAATTTTTAAAAATATTTTCTCTCATATTTTCTGTGTCTGCCCTTTCATGTTTCTTCCTCTTTTTCCCTATGTAACTTACTGAATATATTAGGTAAAATTGCATTGCTCCAGGTTAAAAAAACCACTTACTCTATCATGAATAAAGTGCCCGCCTGGAAAAATAGGTTCCAAATACAGGGGAGAGTGATTTGGGCCACTTACAATTATTTTACAAATTCTAAGACAGGGTTAGGATTTTTTTTTTCCCCCACTGAAAACAACTCATAGAAAATATTAGAATACACAAGTAAATAAATTTAATTTGGGCATTTAGGTTTTTATGTTGAGAGAAATATAAAAAGGAGGAGGCTTCTTCCATCTTTACACAAGAAAAAGACTCTGTTTTTATAAAGTAACGTTCCCATTCGTTCAGCAGAAATTTATCAAGTGCATTGACTTTGAAGATGTTGCTGTTAAAGATTTTAAACTCACTTCCCTTCTCACCAGTTTAGGGGGAAAAGGCATTTGCCCCTTGGGCATCTGAACCATCCTTTAAGCCCCTTCCCTGAGCTTGAAGGTATAATGACTTGAGTTATTTTAGATTAACTTCTGTGAATATTCTGATAAACTTCACTTTCATTAGAGTACACACAATTAAACTAGACTCATCCCAGAAACAGTTCTATGCTGGGTCCAGTGCTCCCAGGAAATAGAGCGGTAAGCAGGACCTGTGTCTGCCTTCACAGAGCGTGTATAAAGCTAGTGTGGAATTCCAAGAATGTGATTTTGGTCTACCTTTTTGCAGTTGTCCTTTTCACAACATCTGCTTCCCAACATGGAGATGTTTGAAAAAAAAAAAAAAAGTAGAAAAGTAAAATGGCTTAAACTACCAAAGGATTTAAGAAAATCAGAAAGTAATGTGGTATTAGGAAATCCAGAAAGAGTTGGTACATGGAGAAAACATTGAGGGAGAGAGAACATCATTTAGGGGTGGAGCAAGAAACTCAGATGTTGGCCTAATTCGCAAAGTACTTGCTCACTTGGTCAGTTAGTTAGCAGTACATTTTTATCATTGAATTCTCTTAAGGGATTTTTTTTTTTTAATGCCTGGCGGCACATTAGTATCAAAAAAGCACCAATTTGAGGAATTGTATTATTTGTAGTCAGGAAATTACATAGTTCCAGCAACAGCGAAAACACAGCCCTTGATTGCTTGGATGGAGAGCAAGTCAAGGTTTATGGCAAAAGGGGCTCCTGGAAGGGAAGGTGAAGCTAGGCAAGGCCACAGTGTTCAAGGAGAAGTGCCAAGATTTGGGAGAAAGGAACGAAGCTAAAATTGTTCCATGTGGATAGAACTGAAAGGGAAGAACCCCAGAAGGCTGGTTCACCTTCCTTCCTCTCTTCACAGTTTCTGTTTATGACCCTGCACACACCCCACTCCCCCTCGCTGCAGCAGTTTGCAGCTGCTGTGTTTCTCGTCAGCCATGCTTCCTTCACTTCCCTACAAGACTCACTAGAGGTGAGGGTAGAAGAGAATGTGTGTGGAAATCTGGGGAAAGGCTGAGGCCATGCCACGGTGATCCAAACTCCATTTGGAGAACACATTTATTGTATTTGGAAGAAGGGACGTTTCTGTGGATGCTACCTATAGTTGTCAAATTGTGGCTGGTTGGCTTTACTAACAAGTAGACTATTATTCGTCACCAGAAGTCTGTGAAAGCATTGTGAACCTACCTCTTTTTATGAACATCATTATTTCCACTTAACCATTTTTAAAGAAAGTCCGCCATTATGGTCATGACTTTACTCAGAAGTGAATGGACTTTCCTGCTCAGGATTATTCTTTCTTTAAGGGACATAATCAGCTTTAGCTTCTAAGCCTGACCAAATCCCAGCCAATCACCCAGCCCCCTTGGGGCAAGGTGCTATGATACTCTAGTATTAACATTATACCTTTAGCAATTATTTGATAGACAATCTTTGCATCAAAATAAAATAATAAAATGTTGAGTCAATTTTTTTTCTTTTTATTTTATTTTATTTTTTTTAATTTTATTTTTTATAAACATATAATATATTTTTATCCCCAGGGGTACAGGTCTGTGAATGGCCAGGTTTACACACTTCACAGCATGTTGAGTCAATTTTTAATGTTGACAACAGATAACTATATATAAACATTTAATCTGAATCTTCTGGCATCTTTTTTTTTGTATCATTTTTTTAAAAGATTGCATTTATTTATTTAACAGAGAGGGAGCAGGAGAGCACAGTCAGGGGAAGTGGCAGAGAGGGAGAGGGAGAAGCAGACCCCCCGCTGAGCAGGGAGCCCGATGTGGGGCTCGATCTCAGGACCCTGGGATCATGACCTGAGCCAAAGGCAGTTGCTTAACTGACTGAGCCACCCAGGGGTCCTGAACCTTCTGGTATCTTAACCACTGAAAACACAGTCTGTCCAAAATTAAACTCCTATTTCCTCCCAGACCTCCCAGACCCTTCTGCTCCCTCTCTCAGTGAATAATACAACAACATCCATCCACTGAGGCTCAGTCTAGAACCTGAGAGTCATTCTGGCCTCTTCCCAGCTCTTTGACAACTTGAATATAAATTGGTCTTCAACCTGAGCAGCTGTCCAATAGTTTCTTAGGCCAAGAAACAAATGCATCACATACCATTTCCTTTCTCCATTCCTTTTTCCCTCTTTCTTCCTAAGTCTCCCTTCCTTTCACAAATACTTGCTGAGTATCTGTGACAAGCTAGGCACTAGGGTAGTTCTGAGTCTTTGGCCTCCAGGAGCTCACAGGCTAAGAGCGGCAGAAGGCATGTGAGTTACAGTGTGAAAGGCCCAAAGAAGATATACCTACAACCAAGTGACATTGAACTTGTAGACCGAGTCAGCTGCCACAAAGGGGTGCTGCTTCCTGAGTCTTAAGTAGCACTTTTGAGATAGCTACATGGTTAACAAGAGAGAAACTCTTAGGCGGACGAAACAGCATATGCAAAGTCAGAGGTGTTGAACCAGCTCATGGCAGGTTGGACAGTGGTATATGATGGCTTCCAGATGACAAAGTGCATGGGGGTGGTGAGTGAAGTTGCATAGTGTAGGCAGAAAGCAGATGATGAAGCCCAAGAGTGTAGCCAAAGAATTTTATTTCTAGGAAATGGAAGTCAGTGAAGACCTTGGTAGGCAAGTAAACAAATTATTTGCATTTTAGAAAGATCACTCTGGTAGAGTATGAAGGATGAATTACAAGTCAGAGGCACCTTGAAAAGGGCCTTTCTTATAGTTCAGGCTAGTTGTGATATCTGAGGTAGCATGGAAAGGTGGGGCTACAGAGGTAGAGACTGGAGGGAGAGATGGTTGGGAGGCCTTGATTCAAGATGAGTTTGCAGGAGAGAGAGGGGGCCTGGATGGGCTTGGGTCTCAGATAGAAGGATAACAGAGATAGAAAGCAGAAGGTGGAGGATGGGTGAGAGAGCAGCATAATAGTTCTCGTTTGGATATTTTGAATTTCTTTTGCTTATAGAATCTTCCAGGTGGTGTTACCAAGTGTGCTGTTGGGTCCACAGGATAAAGAGAAAGCCTGGGGACAATGAGGAAGAAAGCAGGCAGAGGAGGAGAAGATGCAGATTCATGTCATCCCAGAGGCATGGAAGGAAAGAGTTTTTTAAGAACTAGTGGTCACCAAGGTCAAATGCTCTCAGCCGCTCTTGTGACATTAGGATGTTATTAGTGACCCAAGCCAGGATGGTGCCAGTAGCAGGGTGCACATGGATGCCGGCTGCAGCAGGCTGATGGGAGGAAGATGAGGAAGCGGAGTGTGTGTTCCTCTTTCTAAAGGATGAGGTTTGGAAATGGGCCAGTCATATTCACAGCTCTCTCACCGGTACCTAGCATAGCCCATGACACAATGTGCCCTGTAATATTTGTAATAATTTCATGAAAGGAGTGAGAGATTCTGGCAATGGCCATATCTGGTCCCAGGGTCCAGAGAGAGCTTCTGTGATTGGTTTGCCCTTAGGCCTGAGACAATGGAGCATGTCAGTATACTAAATCAGAGGAGCCATTGCACGAAGAGAGCGTCAGGGTGCAGGAACAAGAAGACACAGGATGGAACAAAGTTCCCAAAGAAGTAAGAGGAGTTGATCTATAACATGGGTAGAGGGATTGAGGTGAATGAGAAGAGAGAGATGGCTATAGGTTTGTAAGGATATATTCACAAAATTATCAAGAACTTGAGAGGCTCACAGGTGATAGTTTTTTGGTTTTTGTTTTTTGTGGTTTTTTTTCTGCAAAATAGGAATCTAATGTTATGTGTTAAGAATTAGGCAAGAGAGATAGTATAAGATGCCTGAGAATATGGATGCTTTGGTCCAATTGCCTTGGGGATCGAATATGTTATGGACCATGTACATTCACCCTATGCTTGGTTGAAGTAAGAGCTGAGCAAGGGCTCTAACTCTGACCTTGCCCAGAATCTTATCTCTGAGGATGAAGCATTTAGACCCACCTCTATGATGCTCTAATTACTTCCCCCCCACCTTTGACCTAGTTCACTGTGCTCTGAGCTCATCTCCTTTGATCAGGCTCTGGTTTTTCCCCACTTATAACAAAGACAAACCATAGTGGCAAATTTCCCAATTCTAACAGAATGGATTCTCTAAAAGCAAATGTGGTGAAATTATTGGTTACATGGAAAAAAAGTACATCAGCAAATCAGTTAAATAGCATCCCATTATTATTGCTTCTTCTTTTCTTTCAGAAGTCTACTATGCAACCGCGTACTGGATACCTACTGAAAAGACAGTAGAAGTCAAAAACGTACTAGACAGGAATGGGGACGCCTATGGCTTTTACAATGACTCTATGAAAACCACAGGCTGGGGCATCCTGGAGATCAGAGCCGGGTATGGTTCTCAGACCCTGAGCAATGAGATCACCATGTTTGTGGCTGGCTTTTTGGAGGGTTACCTCACTGCCCCGTAAGTACTTCAATCTTTAGTTGTGGTGGAGAACTACCAGGCAACTCTGTCCCTTTCTTTGTCTACCAGTGGCTCCTGTCTTCCTGACATTGGACATTAGAACTGGAAAGTACCTGAGGTGCCCCTCATATGATTGAAACATGATCAGAATCACATTTTCACCTCTAATCAGTACCTGACGTGGATGGAAAAAAGCCCCCCAACTGTGGCATTCTTCCATTCTTGTGGCACTTAAAAAGTTTTCCTTTTGGCGAAACTATTTTTAAAATACAGCTCAGCCATTTTATCCTAGTAGCCATTTATTGTCTGGTACAAAGAAATTTATAGGTAAAGTGACCAAGAAGCACTGAACACAGATGATTCGTTAAACTTAAAATATAAGAGCATTTTTTTTCAACAGTCTTAAAACAATACTTTCAAGTGGGCAAAGATTTTCAATTGAAATCCTGATGTCTAATATAAATATTCCTTCCAGTTCTGTTGTTACTTGATTCTTATGTCTTTCCTGTGTCTTGTGAAAATAACAAAGATGTAGTTAATAATAATGCAATCAAGACACATCCTTTTCCAAGATAAGCTCTTTAAGGAAAAGAAAGTTGCAACTCATTTAATCAAGCCTCAACCTTTCTTTGATATAAAAAGTGTCTTGATGATTTGGCTTTTTCCTTTTATTCTCTGTGACCTAGACTGTTGTGGGGAGTTTAACCAAACCCTATTTTGTTCGCCTTCGTAAGGCACCTTAATAAGTTCAGTGCCAATCTTAATTTGTTTCTAAGTGCTGGAGATTATATCAAATGTTGAATAACTAGTTCTTGTGCTCCAATAGCTCTTTTTTTAATGAACTAGAAATTCCTGTTTTTCTTTTTATACCAATTTTTTGTTACTCTACCATATAGGTCCCCTTAATGATATACTACTCAGGGATGCATAAAACTTTATAAATGGACTAAGATCTTAAAAAACATGTTTAAGAGCGCCTGGGTGGCTCAGTTGGTTAAGCGTCCGATTCTTGATTTTGGCTCAAGTCATGGTCTCAGAGTCATGAGACTGAGCCCGGTGTCAGGCTCCGTGCTGGGCATGGAGCCTGCTTAAGATTCTCTCTCCCTCTCTTTCCACCCCTCTCCCCACCAAAAAACCCCCACAAAAACCAAAAGCTTAAAAAAAGTTTAAAACTGTATTTTATAATATATTTAATATAGAATCTGAACTTTTCATCCGTCTCTGCAAATCTATATTTACTGTGTACCTACTAGTTCTGATTTCATTATTTAAATTGAGTTGCAGGTTTAGAGAAGTAATTTGAGTGAAGTTGTGTGCCTATAAATACACTAGGTTGTCATGAGTGCTATACATAATGGGCCTTTAAGGGAATCTGAGATTTGTGGGAGCAGCTCTAATCAGAGATTGTGGTGAGGATGAGCATGTCGTCTGTGCAGATAGGTATCACACAGCAGGAATTTTAGGGTGTTTGCCAGAAGGCTTCTGCTGAAGGTGGAATGTCTGATATTCTTATGTCTCAGAAAAACATAAATTTTTATATCTCACTTCTAGGGGTGACTTTATCATTTACCCTTATTCTTAAGATAAAGAACTGACCTACCCTTGAGTACCTTTATCCATTGATGAAGAAGATCCAAGGAATCTGGGTTAATATCAATTCTCTTCGTAGCTTCTTAAATGCTTCTATATTAGAGTAAAAATTTTATTTCTTAGAAGAAAAACACTTAGCTATTATTCAACAACTGGGGTTTTATTTGTTTGCTTACGCTGCATTTTTGCCCTGTCCATTCAAAGAAAATTTGACATGCGTGAGTCTTCTCAGATGGAACAAACAACTTCCTGGGGCACCTGGACATCTCAGCTGGTTGAGCATCCGACTCTTGCTTTTGGCTCAGGTCATGATCTCAGGGTCATGAGATCGAGGCCTCTGTGCTGAGTATGGAGCCTGCTTAAGATTCTCTCCCCTGTCCCTCGCCCCCCCCCAATGCACACCCACGCATTCTCTCTCTCTAAAAAAATAATACATAAATAAATAGAAACAACTTCCTGTATATTGTAACCTATTTTAAGGACCTGGCAACTGAGTCTTCCCTCCCTTCAGACCAGTTTCCCTCCATTCATCCTGATGAGTGATCAGGAGTGAGGGAGAGGTAAATCTAGCAATCTTAGTGAATACTGGATCGTTAAGGAAAAGTTGAGGGACTCTTCTTAGGAACATTTCTGCTGCAGAGAACAACCTGGAAAGAGTGCTTTAATCATAAATAACTATAACAGTCCAAAAGGAAGGCACCTCAGGGGCCAGAACAGTCAAAGAAGCCTTTGCAGAAGGAGTGAGCTGTGGGTCTGGTGTTTGATGGGCGACGACATTCAGTTTGGCTGGGAAGAGGAAGAAAATAATTCTGGGCAGAAAGAAACGGAACCAAATACTGAAAAAAGGCAATGAGTCTGAAATGAGGAATTTGCCTTTACAAATGAGCGAGGAGTAGAAGCTCCGTTGATTAGTCAGAGGGCAACAGGTTTAAAATGGCAGATAGAGGCTGTATCATGGAAGGCTTTGGATGGAAGCCTGCCCGTTTGGCGGTTGTCATTCTTCATTTCCATCGGAGAGTGCTCAGAGGTTTCTCGAATTTGAAAGACAATATCTCTGTTGGTCTCTGTTTTGTATTCCTTATTGACAATTCAAGAATGTCACCTGCTCAAGGATGGGCTTCCCATATATGCAGTAGCAAGAGTCTTGAGAGGACTTCTTCCCTGCAGAGACTTTGACAGATCTCATGGAACAGAAGATCTTGGTGATCAGGAAGAAGCGTGACAAAGAACCAAAGGGGCTGGATGGAAGAGAGAAGTCAGGTATTTGTATATTTGAAGAAGAAAGAGAGAAAAAGAGAAAGAGGAGGAGGAGAGGACAAAAGGAAACAAAGGAAGGGAGTAGCGGAGGGAGGAAGGAGAACAGAACCAAAAAGAGGAAAACGAAGAATTACAACCAAAACTGTCGTTAGAAAGGCATTTCCCATTTCCCTCTTAAGAGGGTGACACTCTCATTGCATGTCTGTAAAATCAATTAAATAGGGAGATTTCCCAGCTTGCATGGAAAAGACTTACTCTGTGCCTAGCTCGAAGCTCACAATAGTGGGACATGACCTAGTATGCTTAGAACACTCCTGGCAATGGGCTGGAGAAGAGAGAGGAAGGGAGGAGGCTATCGATTTCTTCCCTCGTCTGATATGGTCCAGGAGGGGAAGGCTTATCATACATTCTGATGCCCAGGAGCTCATTTTGAAGATCTGCAAAATGGAACAGAGAAACTGGGCTCCCAGGGACAAGAGCTCCAGGAGGGAGACAGAACAGAGAGCATACTGGAAGGATTTGCAGGCTTACGACTCCAGGCAGCACGGCCATGCAGCCCACCGACACCGTCCTCACTGACCAAGTCATGAGAGGCGGGGGGCTGCCTTGGTATTCAGCACAGAAGAGCCTAACCTTCAACCATCTGGAAGCGTGGCTAGAGTCACAAACCAACAGAGGAGGAGGAATACAAGTCACAGGCAATAGTGGTGTTCTTGTGTTTGTTTTCAGCTACTCATGGGCAACTGTCTGAGAAGCAACAGCATCTTCCTACACACACATCATTTTTTTTATCTAAAACCTATACTCCCAGGGACTGTTACTTGGGGGCGTTTGTAAGGCGTGATTCCACTTACTGAGACACAGCCTTGGAGCAAAAGCATCTGAGGGGGCGCTTCAGCTCAGGTCATGATTCCTGGGTCCTGGGATGGAGCCCCACTGCCGTCCCTGCTCAGCGGGGGACCTGCTTCTCCCTTGCCTGCTGCTCCCTCTGCCTGTGCTCTCCTGCTCTCTGTCAAATAAATAAATAAGTAAAATCTTTAAAAAAAAAAAAAAAAAAAGAAAGAAAGAAAGAAGAAGGGTCTGAGCCTGGTCTGAGAAGGTGAATTTATGCCAATGGCCAAAAGAAAGAGCCATCTTTTTTTGTTTTCCTTTTTTAATCCCCCTAAGATTTATTTATTTATCTGAGAGAGAGAGAATGGACGTGCACACCCACAAGCAAGGGGGAGGGACAGATGGAGAGACTCTCAAGCAGACTCGGTGCTGAGCGCAGAGCCTCACACAGGACTAAGCCTCACAGCCTTGAGATCAGGACCTGAGCTGAAACCAAGAGTCCCAAGCTTAACCATCTGAGCCACCCAGGTGCACCCGCCTTGTTCTCCATTCAGCAGCAGAGCTGCTCAGGTGGCTGCCAGGGGCCATGGGAAGTTTAGGGCCGCCATGTTCTTCCCACATCACCAAATTTAAAATGGAGTGACATTCCTTATATTCCCCAGAATCTTGAAGGGAAGGAGTGTGTATGAGGTTGGGTATTGTGGCAGGAACAGCTGAGATACTGTGATAAAGAGCTTGGTTTAACTACTGTGGAGGAAATAATTTGCTCTCTCCAACCTATGACATACTTGCAAGGCCAAACAAAAACATATAAAGAAATATCCTGAAATCCTCCATCATTTTATTGGAAGTGTTCAGTCATAAGTTGTTTCCTTGAACCTTACAACACTCTCCAGAGAACAGCTGGGACCTGGGCCCAGCCCTCGTGCTTTATCACGAAACTCCAGGCCATCCACAGCCCTGCCACGGCATGGTTTTCCCACAGGGTACAGTGGAAGCAGCAGGTCCAGCCGGGCCTCAGCCTGGAGGCAGCCCTAGACCCTTCCGGGGCTTCTCTCACCGTCTTGCCCTTCCTCATGCTCTCTTGTCCACACCCATCTCCTGAGGAGCCACTGTGATTACCATGCAAACATGCCTTCTGGGTGGGCTCCTGAACCCTGCCACGCTGCCCTGTCAGCCTGTCACACATCCCTTTCCAGCAGCTTTTACACTGCATTCCCTGAGAGCCAGATGCTGCCTCTCCCATCTCCACCACCTGAAATATTGCTCAGCCCCCCAGGGCCCATCTCACATGCTATCTCCTCAAGGCACTTCCCGATTCCATTCCAACTGGATTGAGCTCCCTCTCTCTCCCCTCCACCATCTGTTAGTGCTTTAGGGGCAGGTCCCTATCTTATTCATTTTTATATACCCTGGACACCTGGCACAGCCACTTCTGTCCCCAGCAGTTACTTAATTACATGCTGATTAGGTTTAATTGAATCCTGTGCTGTTCCAGTTCTTTAGGGATGAACCAAAAGCACGAGGTACTTTTTTCCATGTAATGCAGTGTCTGGCAGCCATGGCCAAATGGAGCTTCTTCTTTCGTTTTTTGACTTGATGGGCTGGCTCCCTAATCAGAGTAGCTCATGTCTCACTAATGATGGTAAAAGCTGATAAATAGTTCTACATTGGTTTTAATAAAATGAGTCATGAAACCTTTCTGGAAAGAATGATGATGAGGGTGTGTGTATCAGGTCTGCTCCAGTTTTCAGTAAAGTGGCTGAGCCTGTGTGTGGCTGAGGCAGCCTCTGAAACATCTCTGGAATTATCTAGTAGGAGCGAGCCACTTCACTGCAACAAACACATTACCTGCCTTGTGTTGGATTCTGGGGTGGGGGAGAAAGAAATGGGGTGGGTTAGAGCTCCTGAGCACACTCTTCAAAGAGAACTCCATTTAAGTTAATATGTTAACACACCAGTTGGTGAAACTATGATGAAAGGAGGTTCTAGCAAGATTATGGCACAAGTACAGGAAGTAGTCAAAGGTGGTTCCTTTTTTGTTTCTGGTCTACTACCAGGAAATACCTCAAGAATCTCTGCCATAACCCGAACTTGCTTCTTTGATGTTAGAAACTCAATGTGCTTCCCATTCAAGATGGTAGGCAAAGCAAAGATAAGTGAGACACACTCCCATCCTCAAAAATATCAAATGGCCCAAGAACTAGGAATTATTTGGACCTTCCCATGAATCACAAGGTGCTGCTGCTTCTGCTGATGACAGCGATGGCAATGACTAAACCTTAGATGACATTTAAAATGGGCCAGACACTGTTCAAAGCATTTTACAAGTTAAATTACTCCCATTACTATTGATGTGAACACTCGAGCACAGAGAAGTTAAGTAACAAGCCGAAAGTCACAAAGCTAGTAAACAGGGACCAGGTTGTCCAGCAACGGAGTTTGAGCAGGCATGGACATGTATCCACGTAAATGGATTGCTATAGGAAATTCTGAAGGAGTTTGTTTTGGTCTCAGACCCAGAAAGTTAAAGCAAGTAGAAAAGAGTAGAAGACAGGACCTGACAAGTGCTAAATGATAGGGTATTAACATGACACAAAGAGACTCAGGGTAGGGTGGGAGTAAGTGTGTCTTACATAAAGGGAAGCAAAGTCTCCCCCAACTTAGGATGAAACTTACTGACTTTAAACACCGCAGAGCTGAAATTAGCAACACATCCGTGAGGCGGATCTTAGCATCAGGTCTGCATGATGAGAATTTGGAAGTGTGGAGAAGTTGGTCATATTGCCTAGAAGTAGTGAAGTCAACCTTTGAACTCAGAATTCAGAGTCTCTACCCTTAACTGCTGTCCTATATGGCTCTACCACACCAAAGTGTAGGATCCCAAACCCAGGGATCAGAGAAGGCCTCAACCTGAGGAAAGTGGCCTGTGTTCCTCAGGGCTCCTGAATGGGGCAGGATCCATGACCTCAAGGTGGATGTTTCTCTTCCTCTGCTCTGTATGGCAGAACAGAAAAATCCCTAGCCCAGTTACTCATCTATACCTCCATCCATCCCGTCGTCCTGTGGGCATCTTCAGCAACCATCCCCGAGTCAAGACTCTTGTCTTGGCACTGTGGACATTTTGGGTGGAGTAATTCTTTGTTGTGGGGGGGAGGGCTGTCCTGTAGATTGCAGGGTGTTTCGTAGCCCCCCAGCCTCCACCCCCTAGATACCAGTAGCACCCTCCCCCCCCCCCACATACACACACATACACCTCCTAGTGTGACAACCAAAAATGCCTAGACATTGTTGTGGGGCAAGGGCACAGGGAGAGAGAGAATCTCAAGCAGGCTCCGTACTGAGCACAGAGCCCATTGCAGAACGTGATCTCACGACCCTGAGATCATGACCTGAGCCAAAATCAAGAGCTGGACGCTCAGCTGATTGAGCCACCCAGGTGCCCCTACACATTTTTTTTTAAGATTTTATTTATTCATTTGAGAGAGAGAGAGAGGATGAGTGGGGAGAGGGACAGAGGAAGAAGGCAAAGGGAAACAGATTTCCCCGAGTGGAGAGCTGGACACAGGGCTTGATCCCAGGACCCTGAGATCATGATCTGAGCCGAAGGCAGACACTTAATCTACTGAGCCACCCAGGTACTCCCACATTTAATTTTTTTAAGTAAGTTTTATTTATTATTTTTTATTATTTATTTATTTATTTATTTTCTAAAGTAAGTTTTAAAATAAAGAATCCCAAATAGCCAATAATCTGGGGGGAAGGGAGGGATGAAAATTAAAATAATGAGAAACCATGTTAATTGTCAAAAATTAAAAAATCTGATCATACCAAGTGTTGGTGACTTTGTGGAGCCAGAAGAAGTCTAATATGTAGCCGGTGGGAATATAAATGGGTACAATCACTATGAACAACCACTTGGCAGTATCTAGTAACTGTAGATAATATAGAATATTCATCCCTGCAATTCTACTTTTATATATAGTAAATATATTCTAGAAGAACATGCAAATATTTAAGAAGAGACATTTACAATAATATTTGAAGTTGCATTCATGAATTCTTATATACTAATACCATGGAATACTATCAGCAGATGAAAACAATAAATTTAAATTGCAGATGATAACATGTGTCATGGTGAGAGAATTACATGTTAGAGTGATAGTATGATCTTGTTTATGATTTCTTCAGAAACCTAAGTAATACTGTACCTTATTTATTATTAACTCTATATCTGGGGGGTGGGCAGCTGGATGGCTCAGTTGGTTAAGCATCTGCCTTCAGCTCAGGTCATGATCACAGGGTCCTGGCATTGAGTCCCGTGTAGGTCTCCCTGCTCAGGTGGGAGCCTGCTTCTCCCCTGCTTGCCATTCCCCTTGCTTGTGCGCCCTCTTTCTCTCTCTGACAAATAAATAAATAAATAAAATCTAAAAAAAAATAAAATAATAAATCTATATCTAGTGATGGTATAGAAACATGCATGAGAGTAATAAATCACCCATTCAAGATTGGAGTTACATCTGTGGAGAAAGGTGTGGAATTAGCATCGGAGAACTGTACACAGGGGCTTCAGCTGTAATGTTGTTAGGGTTTTTTTATGATTTTATTTTTAAGTAATCTCTACTCCCAACATGGGACTCGAACTCACAACCCTGAGATCAAGAGCTACAGGCTCTACTGACTGAGCCACCCAGGCACCTCTCTAATGTTTTATTTCTCTTTAAAACTGTAGGCACAAACATGGCAAAATGTAATGACTTTAATAAAGTTGCATAGAGGTACTTGGGTGTTGGTTTTATTACATGTTTTTCTCTATGTTGGAAATATTTCTCAATTTTAAATTGTACATTTGATTTTTTTTTTTTTTTTTTTTTTTTTTTTTAAGAAAGGCAGGGGCTCCTAGGTGGCTCAGTCAGTTAAGCATCTGCCTTCAGCTCAGGTTGTGACCTCAGGGGCTTGGGATCAAGTCCTGCATGGAGCCTGCTTCTCCCTCTCCCTCCCCCTCTGCTTGCACTCTCATTCTCTCATTCTCTCTCTCTCACTATCAAATAAATAAATAAAATTTCAAAAAAAAAAAAAAGACCAGGTTTGCAATAAGGGGACTTGATAGTCCAAAAATTGTATAATTTGCTATGATGGACTGCCCTAGGAAGAAAAATAGAAATGTAACCATTTTCTTTTGTTTCAGACACATGTATGACCACTTCATTAACCTCTACCCACAGCTGATTAAGAAACCTTCCATCGTGGATAAAGTGCAAGATTTTATGGAGTATGTATAATTATACGGAGTATATATTTATAATGTATATCTCCTCTTGCCATTGAGACTGTAGGTCCTGAATCTGTCATTGCAAACAACAATTTTTCCTTCTGCCAATTTGTTTTTCTGTCTCTTAGGCAGGACTGGTCCTGCCTGTAGCTGGTCCTATAGTAAGGTTTAGCACATTTCGGTAATGACATGAAAACTGGTTGCAGACAACATGTCTTCTAACTTGGGCTCTTTCAAAGGTCAGGTTGAATGTCATCATCGATTACACATCTGGAGGAAGACCCATCAGTGTAAGGAAGGCAGAGTTAAATGCCTAGACTGCTTCCACCTGAGGATCCTTCAGGGATCCCTCCTCCTCCCTCTCTGAGGTGCTCCTGTGTCATGGGCCTGGGTTCCCATCTTAGTAGGAGCCCTGGCTGTTATCTAGTCCTTATTCTTAACATCCTTGGAGAACATGGCCATTGTAATCAAGTTTTCTGAAGACTTAGTAATTCTCAGTATTAAGAAAAGTTGTTTCCTATTTGTTTTATATGTGGCATTGTTTTATATTTGCAACTGTGATTAATTTGGGGACCAAAGGGCTCCTGGTTTGGCCCTCCAAACCATACACTGAATGCTAAAGTCCTACAGCGTATCGTTAAAAATTATTGGGCTAGATCTTATGAAGCAATGACCTTGTATTCTAAGGCTGATTTGGAGAAAGCCTGAATAAATCAGAAATAACTTTCAGTATACAAACTCATGTCAAATCATTCCCTTTCTAGAAAGTGTAGAGAACTAAAAGAGAGATAGAATGGAAAGACTATAAAGAAGAGAGACAGAATGGAAGGAGTATAAAAAACAAACCTGTCTTGCTAAGTATACTAGGACAGAGGTGTTGAGGCAGTTACTGGCCACAACTGATATAGAATGAACCATAAACTATGAAAACGATTGGAGAGAAATATAGACATATATCATCTACCTTGTCCTTAGGAGTTTGCTGTTGTTGTTCTTTAAATTTACAACTTCCATATAAAAAAACAATTAATGACTTATCCGTAATGATTTAGTGAGGCATTGTGGTTTTGTATGAAATACATATGGATGGCCTATCTTCGAATTTTGTAGATTTCAGGATCACGAGAAGCTAAATGTTACACCTAGATAGAGCATGCAGAGAGCTATCAAGGAAGAGTCAGAGTCCTAGGAAGAAATCGAAAATCATTTAGGATTTGCCCGATAGCCTTTCAAAGTGATTCGGATGTTACAAGATCCAGAATATAAATTACACTACCATAAGTATCTGAATATATAATCTCTAAATGCCTGGGCTTAATTTAGCTTTAGGTGAGCAACCATGGAAATCTCGAGGGCAAATCTAATTTCTCTTGCAGGAAGCAAGATCAATGGACCCGGAAAAACGTGAAAGCTTACAAGGATGACCCATTTTGGAGACATACAGGCTACGTTATAGCACAGATGGATGGGCTGTATGTAGGAGCAATAAGGAGGGCTAAGTTAGAAAGGACAAAGGTAAGATTTCCAAAAAGCTGCTCAGAATTTATATTGGCATTTGGCAATATTATTGCCAAGAATATCAAACACTGAAAATTATCTTGAAACTATGACAAGAATATTGAAAGAATGACAAGAATATTGAAAATTATCTTTAAAATAACATTGCAACCTAGAAACAGATCATATTGGGACTAGCGTATCTTGCACACACAAGTGCTGTCTTGTTATATGGCTAGCACCTGAGTCAGTGACACAACATTCAAGCTTAATACACAATTTTTATCTCTTTCGTAATACTATACTCTGGAATAGGTTAAAGAATGTACTGAATCAATGTACTGGCTGGCTGTTAAACTAACCTAATAAAGTTAGTATTTTAGGTGATAGAATTGTTAAGGCAAAATGTTAAAGTGTACAAGTTCTATGGTTCCCATCCTCTATAACGTCATAGTTATAGCATGTCATAATATTTCGAAAAGCTTTACTGAATCATTGATGATTCAAAGATACCATTTAATATACTTCCAAAAATTATGGAGATTTTGTATTTCCTGGGAGTAATACATACACACACACACACACACACACACACACACTGGATATATGTGTATATATACATATATGTATGTATACATATATGTATACACACACACACAATGGACAAAATATACAAAAAGACAGTTCATAGAAAAGTGATGCAAAAAATTCTTAATCATATGAACCAAGCCTTACTCATAAGTTTAGAAATACACATTAAAACCATCCTGAAACATACTTTCTCACTTGTCTATTTGGCAGAAATCCAAAATGTGAATGCCTACTCTGCTGGCAAGACTAAGGGGGGGAAAGGCACTTCCCCAAAATACTGGTGTAATACAAACTGGTATATTTGCTGTGGAGAGAAAATGTGGCACTCAGTAACCGAATGGTCTACTCATTTACCCTTTGATCTAGGAATCCCACTTCTACAAGGTTCACAAGGCAAAAATTCACAGGCACAAATTCCATATGGCTTATGTGTCGACCTCTTCATTACAGATAATTTGTAATAGCAAAAGACTGAAAACAGCCAAATACATAGAAGACTGGCTACGTAAGTTATGTGGCTGTAACAGGAATGAAGTAGATTTCCAAATACTGTTACGATGTGAGGTTTGGGATCTGTTATAAAGTGTAAAAAAGTAAGGTGAAGACCAGTGTGAATTGTTTGCTGAATTTTATGTAAGAAATGGAAAGATAGATAGATATAGATAGATTTGCTTAACTTTGCAAGAATAAACAACAATGAAAGAATAAACCCAAAACTTATAAAAAAAGAAAAAGAAAAAGATTACCTACCAAAAAAGGAAGAGAAGAAAGGGGAGGGAATAGGAATGAAAGCTACATTTCTCTAAATGTATCTTTATATATATTTTACTTTGGAGCCATGTAAATGCTGTTCATAATTATAAAACAAAATTTAATCACATGGAAGAAAAACAGTCCCTAAAATCTTAAAATGAATTGATATGAATATATCTAATGATATATCAAGTTCATGGCATAACCACACAGAGAGTGGTTATTTCCAGTGACCTTGATGCAGTCATTACAGTACATCCTTAATGGATAGATCCTAAGGACAAGAACTGCCACCATAAAACAAAAACAAAACAGCCTTAAACAGTAATTCAGTAATCTCACTTTATCAATACTATTAGTGTAGTTATTTTAAAATTTTATAAATATAGTAAGATAAAGCAAATAAAAAATACGGTGAATATCAAGATTTTCAGCATACGGGTGTCTGGGTGGCTCAGTGGGTTAAGCCTCTGCCTTCGGCTCAGGTCATGACCCCAGGGTCCTGGGATCGAGCCCCGCATTGGGCTCTCTGCTCAGCAGGGAGCCTGCTTCCCCCTCTCTCTCTGCCTGCCTCTCTGCCTATTTGTAATCTCTCTCTGTGAAATAAATAAATAAAATCTTAAAAAAAAAAATTTTTTTTCAGCATACATAAAGTCAATGAAGTAGAGGTTTCATAGTTTTTAAAGTTGTTAGATAGGCAGGAAATCATTACTTTTAGCTTCCTTTAAAAAATACATATTTTCTTGTTTTTCTCCCTTGAGAAGGCTTAGAAATAATGAGGAAAAATAGCTTTGATCCAGTAGCACTGAGCATCCTTTAGGAGACTATGTTTTAAGGTGAGCAACGGTATCTCAAACAAGACCAAAAAAGTACTAGCCATGAAGAAAAATATAAACTCAGCTAATTAAATTTCTTTTCATCAGAATACATTATATTGAAAGTCGGGGTGCCTGAGTGGCTCAGTGGGTTAAGCCTCTGCCTTCTGCTCAGGTCATGATCCCAGAGTCCTGGGATGGAGCCCCACATCGGGCTCTCTGCTCCGCGAGGAGCCTACTTCCTCCTCTCTCTCTCTACCTGCCTCTCTGCCTACTTGTGATCTCTGCCTGTCAAATAAATAAATAAAATCTTTAAAAAAAAAAAAAAAAAGAAGACACTATATTGAAAGTGAAAAACAAAACCTACAAACCAAGAGAAAATGTTTGCAATACATTTAATTAAGAAAGGGTTTACAGGGGCGCCTGGGTGGCTCAGTGGTTAAAGCCTCTGCCTTCGGCTCAGGTCATGATCCCAGGTCCTGGGATCAAGTCCTGCATCGGGTTCTCTGCTCAGCAGGGAGCCTGCCTCCTCCTCCTCTCTCTCTCTGCCTGCCTCTCTGCCTACTTGTGATCTGTCTGTCAAAAAAAAAAAAAAAAATCTTATTAAGAAAAAAAAAAGAAAGTGTTTGTTTTAGAAATGCATAAAGAATAACAAATAAATTTTAAAAAAGAAAATACCCAATAGAAAAAAAGGCAATGGGCAAAAATATCAACAGGAATTTCACAGAAAAGGAAACAAAAATGGCCCATAAAAATGTGGAGAAATGCTTAATTTCAATAAGAAATACTGATGAAAACCTCAGTGAGGGGGCGCCTGGGTGGCTCAGTCGGTTAAGCAGTTAAGTGTCCGCCTTCAGCTCAGGTCATAATCCCATCACCTCAGAGTGGGGTCCCAGAGGAGTCTGGGAAGTCTGGTTCTCTCTCTCCCTCTGCCTATCCCCTGCCTGTGCACTCTCTCTCTCTCTCTCTCAAATAAATAAATAAGATCTTTAAAATATAAATAGAATCAATGAGATTCTATTATACACTGAAAATGGGAAATTTTAACCACTGCTTGATTGAGTAAATTGTTCCAACTGCTTTGGAAAAGGAGTGAATTTTACTTGAAACATTTAAAGATAACGTATGTTCTACAGTGTAGCAAATCCACTCAGATGAAAGATATTCTTGTATGTGGGCAGGGTGGGGGGGTGGCCTGTGTACGTAAAAGTTCACATTACCATTGTTTTGCCACAAACTGGAAACACTCCATGGTACTATATATTCATGTAATTGAACATCTCGTAGCAATTAAAATAAACGGGCTGTTTCTACACTATTATTATTGATAAATGTCAAAAAATAATGTTGACCAGAAGAATGCACACAATATGATTCTATTTATACAAATTCAAAATGAGGCAAATTTAAAAATACACTGTCTAGGATGTGTACACAGATGACAAAGTAACAGAAAAGCAGGTAATGAGCCACACAGAATTATCCCAGTGGTTACTGCTGGTAAGGAGGGAAATGCGATTGGAGGCTTTCAAGGCATAACTAATGTTCTATTTCCTAATCTGTCAGGTGGGCTGATAAATGCTTTTTCTTCCTTTTAAATTGTGCATATGCATCTTTATTCTTTCATATGTATGGTATCATTCTTAATTTAAAAAAAAAATAAAGGCATGGGGAGCTTGCTTCTCCCTCTACTGCTCCCCGTGCTTGTGCTCTCTCTCTTTCTCTCTCCCTCTCTCTCTCTCTCTGATAAATAATAAATAAATAAATAAATAAATTATTTTAAAAATAAATAAATTAAAAAGCGAAATATTAAAGGCAAATTGAAAACTGAATAATATTTGCGATTCCTATCAGACAATGAACTAATCTTAACATATAACAAACTCCTAAAGGTTAATAAGAAAAAGAATAAGAAAAATAACTAAGGCATATGAACAGTTCGCCAAAAAACAAATCCAAAGGAAACATGCTCCGCCTTACTCCTAATAAAAGAATTGCCAGTGTAAACTGCAATGAGATACTGTTTTTCACCTATCCGTTTGGAAGTAAACTCAGTGTTTAATGTTGAGGCTGGAAGAATGTCTGTTAAAATAAGCCACATGAGGACAATTTGGCAACATCTATTAAAATCGGGGCGCCTGGGTGGCTCAGTGGGTTAAGCCTCTGCCTTCGGCTCGGGTCATGATCTCAGGGTCCTGGGATCGAGCCCCGCATCGGGCTCTCCACTCAGCAGGGAGCCTGCTTCCTCCTCTCTCTCTCTCTCTCTGCCTGCCTCTCTGTCTACTTGTGATCTCTGTCTGTCAAATAAATAAATAAAATCTTAAAAAAAAAATCAAATCAAATCAAAATCACTTCTAGGTATCTATCCTGCAGGGAGCTCACACACATACAAAATGATAGGTCCAAGACTGATTATTGTAACATTGTTTATAACAGCAAAAGACTAGAAAGCCCCCGGAAGTCCATCAATGTAATGTAATATATTTAATGTAATATAATTGTATTTTCAATATAATCCTGGTCAGAATTAATGTATTCCATTTACTGGAATACTGTTTGAGAGAATGAGGAGGATTTTACATCTAATATGGGAGGTCAACAAAACAAGTGAAAAATATTAGGACAAAAAAATCAAGGTGAAGAGTAGCGTGGATAATACACTACCGTTAGTGTAAAAATGTATTAAGACACATTAAAAAGTCCAGAGAAGGACATAGAAACAAATAAAAAGTGGTAAACTGGAGACAGGATGGCACCTGAGCAAGTGGAGGAGAAGAGTGAGGAGGATTTCCACTACAGATCTTGTCATAATTTTTTCTTAACGATCTATTTATTTGAGAGCACACGAGAGCAGGGAGTAGGGCCAGGGGAGAACCCCAAGCAGACAGCCCACAAAGTGCAGAGCCCAATGTGAGGCTCGATCCCACAACCCCAAGATCATGACCTGAGCTGAAATCAGAAGTCTGATGCTCAACTGACTGAAACACCCAGGTGCCCCATCATAATTTTTTAAATCTAGAATAATGAAGGTATGACTTACTCAAAGGACAACACAAAATATGTATATAAATAAATAATCAGGTTCTGGCTTTTTTGTTTTGTTTTGTTTTGTTTTGTTTTGTTTTGATGAACATGTCACCTTTTTGTCTTTCCACCAACTCTGCCTAAAAGCCAATTTGTAGATGCCCTAACCCAGGCTACTCTGGTGGACTGACTCTTGCTGGAGCAGTGCTCTCTAGTTGGCACAAAGTTCATGTTCAAGTCTGATCATTGCTTTGAGGTAAATGCTGTCAAGCCAGGTAGTCCTACATGAAACCAAACACAAAGTTAAAACGCATCTTAGTTGAATATTTTGCTGTAAAGCAATGATTCTCAACTATGAGCATTCTCCCTCCAGAGCACAGTCAGCAATGCCTGGAGATGTTTTTAGTAATCAAAACGGGGAGGGTTTTACTGACACTAATGGGGAGAGGCCAGTGATGCTGCTAAAAATTTTACAGTGCACAACCCCCAAAGAGAAAGAATTATTTGGCCCCAAATACCACTAGTATTTTGGGTATCAAAACATGCCAAAACATCTCTTACCGACCATAAGGTAATCATTCATTTGTAAGCTACAATAAAATCTAATACATTTGTTCCATTGGGGACCCTTCCCAAAGGAATGACTGAATGGATCCCTGACAACAGGAAAACAAGAAAATGACATCCAACTATCACAAATCACTGTTAAGAGTGGTCTTTGTCTTTCCCCAGCCCATGACCATGTTCCAGATTCAGTTCCTGAATGCCGTTGGAGATCTGTTGGATCTGATTCCCTCGGTTTCTCCCACAAAAAATTCCAGCCTGAAGGTTTTCAAGAGATGGGACATGGGACATTGCTCTGCTCTTATTAAGGTAAGACACATAGCAGCCTCCGTGTTTTTCCTTGCTCTGGGCCACACAGACTTTTTCTATATGTCATCCCAAGTGTGGCCACATCTCAGTCCTGGCTCAAGCCAACTATCAGCTCATGTGACCTCTATCTAGAAGTTAAGAACTGGAAGGAGCTGATGGAGGGAATTACAAGTACAAGATGTTACCTCTGTTTCTTCTACCATTCCTCCCACGCCATATGCACCTACCACTCCTACCTCTGACAGTCTTCCATTTTGGATATTGGGAGGACAGAGTCTGTCTGTTTTATGCACATTAAAGGTTAATGTTGTGCTCCTTGGCCGTATTTTCTCATAATAAATATGGCGATGAACACCGAAATTGACACAATCGCTGTACACTTCCTATGCCTGTAGGCAGTTATCTATATACCTCTTCGTCATTCACTGATTCTGGCTGTAGGTTCTTCCTGGATTTGAGAACGTCTATTTTGCTCACTCAAGCTGGTACACATACGCAGCCATGCTCAGGATATATAAACACTGGGACTTCAACATCAAAGATAAAGACACCAGCAGTAGTCGCCTCTCTTTCAGCAGTTACCCAGGTAAATAAATTTAGAGGGACATTGCAGTACTCTTCAGTGTTCTTTCAGAATGAAACCTTGGCCATTCAGAGTAACTGGAATGGGAGAAGAAACCTTTAGAGGTTAGTATGCGCGAATGAACGTTGATGTTCAGAATGCCTTTTGAAGAACTACAGCTCTAATGCTTTTATGTAATGGAATGGTGTGAAAAAAGTTAGTAGCTGCCGGAAACTCACTTCATCAAATGCCAAGTGAGGCACGAGATGCTTTCCTAGGCTCCGTGGTGGAAGCCAGGTTGGGCAACAGAGATCCTGCTCTCGGTGTTTCCTCAAGGGCCTGTTTCTTTTATTCATCACAGTATCCACAGAACTTAACTTAGTGTGTGGCACCTTGTACTTAATTTTTGCTGAATGAGTGGACGAATGAATGCATAAGCTTATAAATCTTACACTAGAGCAAGATAAGTACAATACAGGTAATAATGGTATTATTACTGGGTACTGTGTGAGCTACAGTGGAAATGTAAGGAATGTTAAGAGTATTCAAAGGAGGGTCAGCTCATACTGGATTGTCAGGGAAAGGAAAGAGAGGCCAATACTTGAGATAAACCATGAATGATGCCTTAGAATTTGAACAGTGGGATGGGTGGGGAGGATGGTCTCTGTGGAGTAGGAGTTGCTAACTCCTGTTCTTAAAGGGGCCAGGCAGATGATGTAAAATGGATAAAGGGGGGCTGGTATAAGAAAATGAAAGTGAAAACAATTGCAACAAACACATGACCCATTGAAAAGGTGCAAAGTGCTCAGCTCTCACTGAGTGTTGTCACTCAGCAATATGGCGGTCAGTGTTGCCAGATCCTCCAACTTCTGAAGATAAAAATAGGGATGTAACAAAATGCACTATATGAACCTAACTAAACAGTTCTGCTACCTGGAATGGCCCCCTCAGTTGTAGGTTTGGAACCTCCTCAGGGAACATCATGGGTAAAGGCAAGGGGAAAATTCTTACCAAACATCTAAGAGTCCAACAGTGGATACAAGGTGGACAGTTCTGACCTTTAATTACATATTTGTAACTTACAGGGTGATTATACCAACCACCTGTTGTATCTATCTACCTTTGTCAGAGTTATCATTACCCCTTCTGCTATTATTATTATTCCTGGTAGTATTAATACCATCCTATTATGAATTCTGATCAGTGGCATAACTTTGTTTTGTGCTGTCCTTGTGACCCGATCCTTCCTTTGAAAACACTTTGATTCCATCTTTGTCATTGCTCACTTAATTGTTTTAGTATTGAGGGGGGCTGGGCACTCCTTTCTCAGAGTTAGACTGTGTTTTGATTTCTTTGTATTCCTTTAGACTGCAGTTTAAGGACAGCACAAGACCGAGGCCAGTCAAATACTCATATTCTTCCTCTTATTTGCAATAAAAGGCAATGTTCAGATGTTACCTACACTACTTTGAAATCTCTGCAGAATGGCATTCTTCTGTAGTCTGAATAATCCTGGATCCCTAAGGTAGTGATGGGGAAGGACATGGAGGAATTTCCTATGAAACCTAAAAGTCTGTTAACATTTGTATACATGTATATATCTTTCCAGAACAGATAGATACATAGATAATAGAGGTTTTTTAAAGAGCATTTAAACTGAGAGAAAACAATACTTTTTTTTAAAACCCAACATATTTTTAAAGGAGCTAATGTAGGAATATGATTCATATTTTCTTTCATTGGACACTTTTGTTCTCAGCAACAAACATGAAAAATGTGGAGGGTCTCATCTCTATTACAAAGAATTGTTTGATTAAAGGATCCACCTGCCACTTTGGGTTCATCCAATATGTATGGAGTTAAGCTTTGCTGTGAGCTTCATCTCCTATGCACTGCTGATCCCAGAGCAGAGCTGGGTGGCTTGTTTGTGGCTGGTGTTGGTGGAGGAGCGCCAGGGGTAGGAGTGAGGTATCAGGATCTGGAGGTTGTTCATGATATGAGCAAAGGTATTAAGAATTACTGAGTCAGGGGGCGCCTGGGTGGCTCAGTGGGTTAAAGCCTCTGCCTTCGGCTCAGGTCGTGGTCCCAGGGTCCTGGGATTGAGCCCCGCATCGGGCTCTCTGCTCAGCAGGGAGCCTGCTTCCCTTCCTTTCTCTGCCTGCCTCTCTGCCTACCTGTGATCTCTGTCTGTCAAATAAATAAATAAATAAATAAATCTAAAAAAAAAAAAAGAATTACCGAGTCAGAACAGAAATATCAAGTCATGAAATATTTGTGACTTGGCTGAAACACGTATTAAAGATGACATAACTGGGATGGTATAGACACCATTATTATAAAGATACAAATAACTCTGGAGATTTCCAATGCCCCTATCCATACTTTTATAATACATCATGACCCCCCACTCCTGCCCAATTCTGTAGAAGTGACCACCAAGATGATTACCCTGAAAAACAGTAAAGCTTCAAGACACAAAGACATTTTTTTTTGTTTTGATGTCATCAAAAAGGAAAACGGTAGAACTTGGATAGCTATAAACTGTTCCTCCATGTATGAAATCCAACGTAAAACTTTACTTTGGCGGACCTCGGCTTTTCCTCATCTGTAGAATGAGACTAATATAAAGACTGACTTCATAAAGTTGTAAACATTATGTAATTAATTTATTTGTTTGCGATTTTCTATGAAATTGTCATGTCAGGCAAAGTATTTATGATGGGAAACAGGACAGATGCTGTCCCTATTCTATCAAAATTTGTATTCTGATAGAAGGGACAAATAAAAAGCAGTGATTAAAGTGTGATTTGTGTAATAATAGAGAAGACTAGTTTGGGGATGTTGGGATAGCTTCCAAGGGAAAGTAAAATTTAAGTTGAGGAGTAAAAACAGGTATAAATTAGCCAGCAAATGACGACAGTGGGGCGATAAAATGTTCCCTGTGGGCCAAGCAGCATGTGTGAAGGCTTGTAGGCAAGAAAAAAGTATGTGGAGAAGGCCACAAAGACGGAATGGAAGACAATGAAGACCATTCAAGTGACAAGTGGTAGACGTGACGTTAACACATTTGCATGTTAGAATTATCTGGCCCACAAGAGGAGGAGAATGAGAGAGGTTGCCAGGAGAATATTTAAAAGCCTGAGGCAATAAATAATCCAGGTACCTCAAGACATGTAATGTCTTGTAGATGTTTAGTCAGGATGTGGATGGAAGACTGAGCTCCATCTTCAATAAAAGAAAAATATCAACAATGACTGCTGAATTACTTCATCAATTCAGGAATTTCTATGAGCTCCCGTTATCCTAGCCAGAATCCTTGAGAGATAATGACCTAATGGCAGTTGTCAGAAGAGCACTCCCAAAATCGTAGTCCAGCACAGGAGACTAGAAGAAACGGTAGTAATCCAGCACACTTGGACTTACTTAAGTCAGTCTCATGCTCTGTGTTCACCAGAGCCCCAGGTGTTGACTCCCTAAAAATGAGGTGGTTATGTCAAGGAAACAAATTAATATAATAATTCTCATCTTAATCTAGAAAAGGTAAGGTGACTTGGTAGCTTCATAGTTTCTATCTTTTCCAGACTGTTTTTTCTTTTTTTTTTAAACTGAGTAGGACTTTCCTTTACCCTTGGGGAAATGATTTCACCTGAAGATCCTAATATAAAATGCCCTGAGAAAGTCAGAAGCAGACCACAAGAAAGCCAGGTGCTAATAAAGCTCGGGACTGTCCTCGGGCTCAGGGGAGTGATGTTCCAGTTTTGAAGTGCCTTCCTCAAAATTTCCGAAGTGCCCCCTCCAGCGCCTGGAGACCAGCCAGGTTGGCAGTCCTGGGGCACCCTGGAGCCGGCCTGCATCCCATGTGTCTTATTGAGTGGGCACCTGTGTAGCTTAGTCAGTTAAGTATCCAAGTCTTGATCTCAACTCAGGTCTTGATCTCAGGGTCTTGAGTTCAATTCTTGCGTTGGAGCCTACTTAAAAAAAAAAAATTGCCTCCCCCCACCTCCATGTATGTCTAATTTAGGAAGCACTTTTACAGAAATTTTCAAAATATCCTTCTAGTGTCCAGGACTAGCCAGAATAGCAGAGCCATCCAGGTGGGGCTGGGCTTAGGTGGGAGCCCACATGGCTCCTGGTCTTCGGACGTCCCTCTTCTGAGAGCTCTTTCCTTCCACCCTTATCCGTACATTCAACAAGATGTTGCTCGTCAACGTGGGGGGCGCTGGGACTCAAGCCAATCTGAGGTCCTACTGAGCTGATAGATCTTTTCTGCTGGCATCACAGTATGTTTGCCCCATGACTGAGCAGACAGAATGTTGGTGACAGGATGATTTGAGGTGGCCCTCGTGTCAGACACAACGTGTGATCAGGGCTCCAGGCTACCGAAGGTCGCCCTTACCCTTGGGCTACAGCACGTGTGTGGACCTGCCTCCCTTCAACAGCCCTGGAAGTTGGCAGAGGAGTCAACAAGGGAATTTACCATGGTGTCCCGTGCTGGCCCTCAGGTGGTCACCTCACCCCTGCAGCCTCTGTACCATGTGCTCGGCAGTCCTCTGCAGAGGGTTAGGCCTGGCCCTCACAAAGGCTTTGGAGAATCTCACTCCAAAACACAAACAGACCTTTGCCACAGATCTCATGTCCCTGTGAGGTAACTTCCTATTCTCTCTGGCCGGTCTTTAGCCAAACAGATAAACCTTGTGAGACAGGGGCTGGCCTCTGGCTCTGCCCACAGGCTTCTCACCTGTCCCGCCCGTAGGTGGGGGTGTGTAGACAGTAGGGTAGCATCAGTGCGGGAGGAAATCACATTCTAGGAACGCAATGGTTACAGCATAAGGAGTCTAAGGGAAGACGGACACAGAAGGAAAATATGTTGACACGTTTTGTGCTATAAAATTCTGAATGGCAGAAACAAATTGTCGTTCCCACTTTTCTTATTATTCTGGGTAAGGTTTGCATCTGGAGTCGTTGTTAACAAGAGCGGTAATGATTTTTTGAGGGAGTTCTTAGTGTTCGACAGCAACATAACA